CTACAGGCCCATCACTTGCAGCAAAGCCTGGGTGAAGGCCTAGGAGTGAGTGAAGAAGACAGAATCTGGATTCTAAGGAGGCCACCTACTCCCAGAGCAAATAGAAGTGGTCACTTTCTTATCCCAAATGAGAAAGCTGAGTGTTTTTGTTTTGGGATGAACCCGCTGGGGAGAATGATGGAGTATCAGAGCACCTCTTTGCCTTCAATTCCCAGATTCACATCTCTTCAGGGCTGTGACAAGTATCAGTGCTGTTCACCAGCTAGATCCAGTTTTACTTCTCCTGATCACATAGTGGGATCATAGTTCCCAAGGCCCTGAATTTAAGTGAGGCCATGAGCCTTCCTTTGCCAATGAAAGGAGAACACCATGATAGCTTACTTCCTCACAAAGCCTTAGGACCAGTACATGGCTCCTGCATGGTCCTTTACTCCGCGTGTAACCAGCAACACTCCTGATGGTGACAGCTTCCTGGCCTGTGTCTCTCACTGAGGACAGAGTGCAGTAGAGGAGGAGACACCTTACTGATCCATGATGGACCTGTAGTGTGAGCAAAAAACAAAATTCTGTTGCTTTAAGCCATGGAGGTTTAAAAAGATATATTATGAAAATTTTCAAACATATCTATATAAAAAAACAGACAATAATATATCAAAATTGCTATGCCCATTACTTACTTAGCTTCAACAATGATCAAGCTATAAGCCTCCATGATTTGGAGTTTGCTCCTTAGTACAGCACAACCTAGACGACTCCTGCTAAAAGGAAGAGTAAAGAGTGTTATTTTATAGAAATGCTGAATGAGTGACAAGTAGGCAAAGAGAGTGGAAACAGAATTGACGAGATCTGATTGTTATGCCTTATTTTAGTGAGATCATTTCTGTTTTCCTAATATTATAATTGAGCGGCAATTTGGATTTTTCTTGTAGGCGCTGCCTTCCATGTTACTTATTTTCCTCTAGAAATCTAAGCACATCTAGAAACCAGAAGCTCGAACTGTGTCAAGTGCACTGGAATGGTGTGCTAGTGGGAGAAACTGCGACATGGAAAACTTACTCAGTGTGGGGGAGGGACTGCAGATGGAAGGGTGACGGAATGTGGGAGGGGGAGGGACTGCGGCTGGAAAAGGTTACCGGTTGTGTCAGGGTCAGGCACCGTGGCGGAGGAAAATTGCTAGATTGTCTTAGAAAAACAATGTGTTCTGATATGCTCCAGCCAGGTGTGACTCCGTTTACCTCCCCTCTGTGCTTATGAACTTTTTGTGAACTTCTAAGGAACAACTAATGAAATGCTTTGTAGTTGTTTTTTTCTGACTGCGGCTGGAAAAGGTTACCGGTTGTGTCAGGGTCAGGCACCGTGGCGGAGGAAAATTGCTAGATTGTCTTAGAAAAACAATGTGTTCTGATATGCTCCAGCCAGGTGTGACTCCGTTTACCTCCCCTCTGTGCTTATGAACTTTTTGTGAACTTCTAAGGAACAGCTAATGAAATGCTTTGTAGTTGTTTTTTTCGTTTTTTTCTAACACTGTGTAGTTTTGCAATAAAAGATCTTGCCCCCCCCACCCCCACCCCTTTGGTTGGCACCACATGCTGCTAGGCTCCCAGAGGGGGAGGGGCGCGCTGTGGTCAGCTGGCCAGCTGAAGAAAGGCTCTTAAATTTAAATTCTGAGTGGGTGGTCTATCTCGCTGAGCTAACCCATAACATTGGCAGCAGAACTAAAGTTAATTGCCTGCTTCCACGTAAACCCAACAAGCACCATTAAACTTTTGGAAAATGTGATTGTTTTCGTTTCAATATGCTTTAGGAAGGGCTTTCCTACCGAATTATGTCTGGAATGTGTGCATACATGTAAACACAAACCGAGTATTTCCAAATCTACAGTCAATGGTATCACAGCAGTCTGATGGATTCATTTAACAAATGACATGAAGTCAACATTATTTCACAAAATTAGTCCATATGCCAGTACTGATCCTCCATGTCCGGTTTTGTTTTCGTCCAACCCAACTGAATTCTCTGTAACTGCTCCCCCACTTATTAGGAAGGCGAACCTGGGCAACTCAGCCCCTGCAGGAGCCTCCGTCTCCTTCCTCGTCACGGAAACGTCTCTGTCTGTTGTCCCATCCGGAGAACAACCCAAATCTGTTGTCCAAGGATCTGGAAGGAGCACATCCCCTTCTGGCGATCCCAGCGCGGGCGGGGGCGGGGGGACAGCGAAGGGGGCGGAGCGGTTCCCGCATTTCTGCAGGAATTTCTGCCTTTAGGCGGCATTCAGGAGGAGCCAGGAAGTCTTGCAGTTTTCTTTTCTTCTTAAAGCTGTTAGGCATCTGTTCGGGTCGCCGAAGGAGCGAAGGAGGAACTGCAAGAGGACAATAGAGGTAAAGAATTAAAAATGTATGAGGCCATCTAGAAAGTAGATGGGCTGAGCCCCTAAATGGTGCCGCACCCAGAGATGGGGGGTCAGAGTTTTTAAGGACTCGAGGGGGCTTTTCCACCGGCGGGGATTCTCCGGGCGGGTCCGGCGGGGCGGTGACTGGTCTGAGCAAAGGGAATGTGGCCTGAGCTGAACGGAATGTCGGCTGTAAAATGGTCTGAGGGCCAGTTTCCCAGGGGAAGGGGATCAATTTGTTTATTTGATCAGA